TACATTTTGTCCATGCATTTATTTAAAGCTCGATGGATTGATAGTTAGCGGATAGCAGCAGGTGTTCATCAGAATGTTTCACTGCTAATATTTTACTGACATCTTAACTTGGCGTGTTTTAACCAGCATGAAAGTGATTTCCACTCCTAAAACAAGGACCAATTATGTCGTCCTTAATATGCATATATGTGCACATAACCTACCTGCTGTAGAACCATTATGATACCGCGCATCAGAAAGCAAGGTGCTAATGTACGCAATCACTTGCATAGATTGTCTTACATAATTGGCAATGGTAATGATCCTTTGATGAGAAGTATCACGTGCACAGCGCATGGTTTCATCTTTATGTGGTTTCATGCTTCTTTTCCATATACATCTTGACCGAAACACAAAACAATATTTCACACTTCGTGTTGCATCGCTGCACTGATCATGTGATACAACAGTTTCTTGTAGACCTTGACATCAGCTCGCTCAGGAGAATGCACGCATCAGGGTGTAAGTCACACCAACTGTCACGGACCCTTTGAAGCATAGGCACCATGGAGCACATTCACCGTAATTTATGATATATATATATATATATATATATATATATATGCATATATTAACATGATTATTATATTCCTATTTAAAGATTATTTGATGTTGCCTAGTGCCCCGCAGCGACATGAAGTTGCCGTGCTGTGTGCACACTTCATCGTCGCTTTCGTGATGCGTCCGGTTAAAGCTGTGCATGCACGTGTGAGTCGTCTGCTTATAGCGCCAAGGCATAATGTAAACTCACTTGCATAATTGTTACGCGTTTCGGTTTGAGCCGTGGGTGTTAAACCATGACTGGAATATGTGGGTCCGGTACATAAATATGCTCGGTATGTCTTCGGAGCCTTTTCCCACTACTAAAATTCAATGTTGATGCTGTCTCTTAACCTGTGATAATTATCACATTATGTATCCTCTGGTGCTGCCAAGCTCCTTCAGTTGAATGTATCTCAATCATATCGAGCGTTTGGTTTTGATTGATTCCAACATTTGACAGGGATCTCGGGACAGAAGCGTATGTAAAGGTAAACTAATATACGAGACCACATGCAAATGTATCTTTTCACGCATTTTAAAGCGATAAAATGCCAGAAACTTTTCTCTCACATTGCAACGTTGAGTGCAGATGTGAGGAGAAACGGTTGTGCGTATTTTGTACGTGCACCACAAGACACAATTAGCAGTGGCAGCAGTAACAAACCGTACACAGATCTTGCTGTTTAAAGTGCTCTGTGATGCGACTTTGATGCCCAATCACTTATTCCAGTAACGTACAAACGCATCCCGGGTAAATAGGGAATTCCCGACATTCCTGCCGAGCGTCTGTTTTTGTCCAGTGCCCACGCAGTGTTCAGCATTGACATCTTTCTGTGAATGTCGTGTTGCGAGATAGACGTCTTTCTCTGACATGTTTTTATCTCTGACATTCAACTCTGGCATGTTTCGCATTATAGTGTGCGTCGACGTAATGGTTTTGAGACATAAGACTGCGTGACTATGGATGTTAAAACCATGTTAAACTAGAAAACTCCGCCCCTTACACTGAAGCTACATACAGGCCCTACTGACAGCTAAAAAGCTATACTCGGATCGTAAATGTGATGATTTGCTTTAACTTTTGGCCGGTTTGGCACAATTCAGGCATGTGCTTCGGCTTTAGCTGTTTCATGCCAGTAAACTATGGATATGGGATTGGGGTAGAACTATATCCTTCACGTGATGTTGTCACCTAAGATACTGTTTGCAAGCTGTCGAATAACGAAGAGGCCAATAAACTATCATGATCTCGTGTGACCTCAGACTGGCTCTAAGCCAAGTGTTTGCACTGAATGTGATACGCATAACTATCTCTTTGCTCGTTTGCTTTGCAGGCCCCATTTTGCGCCACAGAAAGCGGCATTTTTTAAGTTCCATTCATGAAAGCATCAGTTACCCTGACCTGAAACGATAGTCGTTCGCATAAATTAACCGAACGAACAGTGCTAGGCTTCTGAGGTGTCACGCCAGCTATCTCTCTGCAGCTTCCTCTCCAAGATTGGTCTTGTCTGTCCCATTTGGCTTGGTACGGATGATGTCCGAAAACATAAAACCGGTAGTGTGAAGCACTGAGTAATGTCATATGAAATCTCCCTACTCGTAAGTCATGCATGGATTGCCAAAGGACTGAACCGAAGTGAAAAATGCGCCTCTTTACTGATATGAATATGTTGTTTTTGTCATGGATGCCGCACTCTTTCGATTGGAGACAAAACTAGGAAAGATCCGCAACACCAACCATGCGTTATGGCTGCTTCTGCGACCAACTTCATCCTCGTTGAATTGTACAGGAATGATAAGCTAGATCTTAACATTTTAAAATTGAATATATTCATAAGCACTAGGGCCAAATGTGCGAGATACGAAAGTCAAGGCGTCTGCTTGGCAAATTGCGGCAGGTCATTTGTCGCATCATTGCTGAACCTCCGCTCGTTGGAGTTTATTGCCACGCGCCAGGCGAGAGGAGAGGAGTGTTGTAAACACCCTCAACAACTGCTCCCTGTTTGAGGGGATCCTCGAATACAAAGCGCTCGCTGAATCAATGCAAGAAATTGCACTATATTGGTTTAATCCCTTGAGGTCAACGAGTAGCCTGAAGAGCCATATAACAACCACCTAGCATTGCAGCAGCGTCAAATTACATCGTTTGAGGGGCGAGAGAGTGCAGTCGTGCAATCGTATGCTTTGGCCTGAAATGCGTTATGTTTCTGCACACACCGTTATTCGGTTGAACGATGTGCGCAGCCGGATGTGTGCGCTCGAGTGTACGCCATGCATTTACCTGCCTGGGGCGAGACTAAGGACTGATGGCTCCTCTCGACAGCCAGAACGGATAGGCGTGGACCGACCGCATGGCGCAGGCAAATGTACTTCTGAATTACAGCGGGATCACAGTCCTGTCCGACCCACAGATGCACCGGTGAAAGGCGGTTATTACATTATTCTGATCTGCATTAGTATATATTTGACCTGTTCCTGTATCGGGCTGTAGAGGAGAGTACCCACATTACACCCCGTCAAAAAGCGAAGCTTGCTTCGATCTTTTCCCCATGTTTTTTGGCCTCATTACGTCGCAGCTAATGCGCTTTTATGTTAGGTACTGAAAGTTTTCGAAAAGGCTGCAAAGAGCGCAGTTATAAAACAGGACCGAAAATTGCGCCCACCGTGTAACGCAATCGAGTTTGCCTGCAAAAAGATGTACTGCTTTTACGGATAACATAAATAAGGATTGTATAAAGGCGGTGCATATCTCTTCTGAAAGAGATTTAGGGCCCATTTAGTGACTATAATCAGTGGGAAATGATGATCTACATGGAACTAAGTGATGAACATCGCTTTAAAGTAGCAGCATGGGAGCACTTTTTGCTTGAAATGGAGACGTGGCGGTCTGCGGGCTGCACAGAGTAGGCGGAGTGTCTGATGTGTCCCGTGGGAGTAATGGCAAAGCTGATCCGATGCCAGCTGACGAGAGATAAGATCGGCCAGGCCCTCTCCTGGGCTACACATAATGCAAACTTTGTTCAGAAGCCGAATGAGGCGCTGAAGATGCGTTGCACAATGTTACGTTCTTTTAACAACTGTGAGCTTGTTCTCTCGACTGATGACCAGTTATAGCAACAAATAAAATAGAGATTCTACCTTTGCTCTTTTAATTCCACCACCAGAATCAGCACCACTCCGCTGTGCTGTAAAGACCAATTCGTTCTTATTATCAATCTAAAAATCGCACAGGTGAAGTAAAGCCCGGACTAGCTTCTTAACGTGCGATTTGATGTCACATAGCGTTCAAAAGTGCTTCTTTCAGATGCGTGTCCATTTTCGTCCGCCCGTTGGCCACGGCACAGTGTTGGCCGCGAGACCAACGATGCGCAGCCTATGGAGACTGCACCGTCTAACGCCAAGGTTTTTGTTGCTTAAATTTGTAAGCGCACATGGTTCAAAACTACGTAACATAACTTGTATCAATCATAAATTCTGGCTGAATATTGAACATTTCCAGACAAACTTGGCTTGGCCAAGTCAATACAAATAGCGGACCCATTTCTATCTACAATCTGCATTCAGGGGTCCTTGATATCTCTGAGCAGCCCATATAAAAATTTTGGTGATCTCGCGGTAGTTTCTGGATTTTATCCCAATTAAAAAGGTAAAAATAAAAACGTATAAAAAAGCATGCCCTCATTAACAAATGGGCCATGTCCGGCGATTTTACTGGGTAGGGGAAGGCCCTTTTACTATCAGAGGGCCTTTTTTCAACCCTGTGCCTCCCTTGCCAAGTCTCTGGATGCGCGCCTGAAGGCATCTTGTCATTGTACAAATGGCCTCACAAATCGTAAAACAGAATATTTTTCACATTAGAAAACCTTATTTTTGAGCGGGAAACGCATGCATATTTGCCAAGAAACTTGGGTTTTCAACTCACCTCATCTGACACATGCCACGCTTTGAACTGGACACATGTTTTGGCCATCACTGAGTGCTTAGTAATTATTTAGCCTGGGGGAAGCAGGGTGCATTTTTCTTACCGGCGCAGCTACCGCACTCTCCACAGGGCTCCAAAACCGCCTGGCCCTAGTAGTTTAAGTTTTGCATCAACTACACGGCTTTCTCTACCTTAAGTATGACCCAGATTTCTCTATGTCGCATTGGTGATCGCACTGCTGACACATTGACCCACCTATCATCAGTGGGCGTTACAGACTGTTCTCTCCGTCATCGCTCCTGTTAGGCTGGTCTCTGTTTTTTTTTTGCGCCTGTGCGTTTGCTCCTGTTTGCCTATCTGCGTGTTGCAGTCTATTCGCTAGCCGTCTGGCCGCGTGACTCTGACGCGGCGGCTCCTTTGAGTGCAGTGTCCAGTCCTCTGAGTGCAGTGTCCAGTCCTCCCATCCGTGTGACGTCAGTACCGCCTCCTCTTGCAGAGTGTCCGCCCGCCTATGACGGGATGGAGCGGTTCGCGTGCCCCACGCGGGACCGCCGCGGCCGGTACCGCTGCATCGATGACCACATGCTCTGCGACGGCTACCGAGAATGTCCCGGCGGCGAGGATGAAGATAGAGAGAACTGCATGTTCTATAAAACGGTCAGTGGATGAATTTCAAGGACATTGTGCCTGGGCTGGAACCAGCGGCCAGAGAGAGAGAGAGAGAGAGAGAGAGAGAGAGAGAGAGAGAGAGAGAGAGGAGAGAGAGAGGAGAGGGAGAGAGGAGAGGGAGAGGGAGAGGGAGAGGGAGAGGGAGGGAGAGGGAGAGGGAGAGGGAGAGGAGAGGGAGAGGGGAGAGAGAGAGGAAGAGGGAGAGGGAGAGGGAGGGAGAAGGAGAGGGAGAGGGAGAGGGAGAGGGAGAGGGAGAGGGAGAAAGGGAGAGGGGAGAAGAGGGAGAGAGGAGAGGGAGAGGGAGAGGAGAAGGGATAGGGAGAAGGAGAGAGAGAGAGGAGAGAGGAGAGAGAGAAGAGAGAGAGAGTGAGAGAAGATAGAGAAGAGAGAGAGAAGAGAGAGAGAGAGGAGAAGAGAGAGAGAGAGGAGAGAGAGAGAGAGAGAGAGAGAGAGAGAGAGAGAAGAGAGAGAGAGAGAGAGAGGAGAAGAGAAGAGAGAGAGAGAGGAGGAGAGAGAGAGAGAGAGAGAGAGAGAGAGAGAGAGAGAGAGAGAGAGAGAGCGAGAGGGAGAGAGAGAGAGTGAGGGAGAGAGATGCTGTGATAGCTATATCATGATTCCGATGTGTTTTCTTAACTGGAAGATGAATATTCAGAATACATCCTCAGGTCATGTGCGTAGAAATGAGGAAACATGTGAATTTCTCCAAAAGAGAGGACAGCAGCAATAGTATACCTATTCTCAGAACTCCCAGCTGCTCGTTGGCATTCCCTGAAGCAGCTCAGATTGGCTTCTGATTCAACTTTGGCCGTGGATTTCAATTTTTCATGCTATGTAAGCGCAATTTGATTACTTGAGTGAGCGAGCCAGGAACCATCAGTCAAGCCAAAGGTTAAGGGGACTTTAATGAGGTTGGTGAAGGAGATCCCGGCTGAACAGTCCAGTTCTGCCGAAGCGGGTGGCCCACTGCTCGCTGCTTTTGATAAATGGGAGTTTTGCAAATTCGTGATCCACACCGTTCTCTGCTATTTCCTTCCTGGTGCCACTTCTTTGCGTTGTCAACGTACTGGAGATTGTTAGTTCAATTCATGCATGCCCATTTGGTCTCGAGGAAAGTTGGTCCTTATGTTTTTATAAGGTCGCATTGCTAATTTATCTGGCCAAGTGTTTGGCAGTTATATTTTCTTTCCAGTTTTGCAAAGTACGGTAGGCTTCACGTGTGGGTGCTGCAATCCACTGCAGTCGGTAATTGAACTGTCACACCAGCGTTCAGTCGGCAGCACAAAAACATCCAAGGCTACTGCTGATCGCACCGTCCGCCGTTGCAGACCAAGGCGCACCTGAACGTGTTAGCGGATGCGCTGCTGCGGTGGGTGCGAGGTCGCTAACGCCTCGCTGGGCCTCCTGCGCACGTGGTGACCCTGAGAGCGGCCGGCCATAGGACGTGATCGCGTCTGCTGCCCGCCTACCGGGTCGGCCCGCCCGCCGGCCTGCGCTCCTGACGACGCCCCTGCGCTCCTGGCGACGCCCCTGCGCTCCTGGCGACGCCTCTGCGCTCCGTGGACCAGCCAGCGCCTCTTCCGAGCAGCGTGCTGGGCCGTGACCGCCGCAGGCGATCAGTGGACCTGTGTGAGGTCCACTGCCGACGGGCCAGTCAGAGGCCCCCTGCCGAAAATGGGCTCGGTCAGGGAGCCCCTGCCGACAAAACAGGCGGTCAGAGAGCCCCTGGCAGAAAGGGGGTAGTCAGAAAGACTTCGTTGATGAAGGGGCCGGTCAGAGGGCCCCTGCTGATGAAGGGGCCGGTCGGAGGGCCCCTGCTGATGAAGGGGCCGGTCAGAGGGCCTCTGCGGATGGGGGCCGGCCGCGGGACGGCGGCCTGGCTCGCCGGCGCCTGCGTCCCTGGGACTTCCCGGCTCGCTGCGCGCATTGGCGCGGCTCACTCGCCCGGGCCGGGCCGGGCCGGGGCCCGGCTCCGACCGAAATTGGGGAGCGCTGCGCCCGCCCACCGTCCATTCGAGCACGTCCCTCCCGTCGTGTCTGCCCCTGGGGTGGCTACCTCGACCCCAGCTTCCAACTGTATCTATGTCTTGTCGAGGCTGGCTCTGTGCTATAGAGGCCCGCTTGCATTACTGATGCATGCTTCGCTGGCGGAGGTCTGTCGTTGGCGTCGCCATCCGCTCTCCTCCCTGGAGGGCCGCTAACCCTAAAACGCCCCTCGCAAGAACGCAGACGACCAGCAGAAGCCCGCTCGCTTCGGCTCGGTTCGAGACAAGATTTTCAATTTAGACGTGGCACCGGCTGACTTCCCTAAGCTGTTCAGTTCTGGTAGAATTGGAGCAATGAGAGGGGCCGCTGTCTGCGTGACAGAGCCGCTGCTCAGATGGTAACAAAGTCCATTCCCTGGAGGCTCGGTGGTTTGAAGTTCGAAGCCTGGCCTGTGGTCGAGCATCGACGTAAGCAACATCGAGAACGTTACAGTGTTGCATTCTGCTGTAAAGGAGTCTATACCCAAAAGTCACCCAAAAAATTAGCTTCTATAATACCGAGGGCTGATCTCCTGCGAAGGTGCCTGGTCTGCTAAAATTCTATTTTTGTGATCAGCTGTCAGGCTACAATTATATTTTTGTGACGAGAACATTTGTACATGTACTGTGCACCCTGTTTCCAGGTATACGTTCAAACACCGTAAATGAGTTTCAACACAGAGTCACAGCGATTGGTGACTAAACAGCACCGTGAGAAACGAGCTTGACGCTGAGAATTCTGCCCCCAACAGTTACCACCGATATTCACCAGACAAAACTTCAGCTTGAGCCTTCCTAGGGCAGAATAGCAAAGCGTACGCACAGGAAGCGTCACACGTAAAGTTCTTAAGTCGCTAGCTACGACTAGTTATTGGTTGGTCATTGTTTATTTTTTATCACCGATACTTAAGACATCGATGGATAGGAAGTATCAGTGAAGCTAAGTGGTTGTGGTCAACACGTCCATAACGCGCAAATTAAAAAGAACGTAGGTGATAGTTTCGGGCGATGAAATTGGCCACGCTTATGCCGCATGATCCGCCTTGTTTTCGTGAAGCGTTCACACAAGCCGGTGCTCTCAGTCTGTTCTATGGTCTACATCACTCCCGCTGAGCCGCCATGCGCGAGGATGCTGGAGGTGCCATTCGGACGGGCTGATGGGACTGCGGGTAGGGGTCACATTTGGTGTTCTTCCGTCTCTGTCAATGCTGCCACACCGGAGGTGGCGGAGGGGCGGTGTCAGCGGGGCTATCCACCGGCGGCTGGGCGGCCGCGACACTGAAGCCAGCACGCTCTCGGTGCGCCGCCCAATCACAGTGATACTGTTGCTCTACTTTCACGGTTTTCGAGGCAATAAATTTTGCTGCACTGTGATGGCATGGGATTCTGGCAAATGGGTGCATGAGGAGGCTAAGTTTCCTGGCTATTTTACGCTTGTCCTGATCCGTGTTCCTAGCACTGGCAACATTACTCTGATCTCTGACAGTAAGACCTCCGCTCTGTTGAGAGCGACCTGCGTACACTGAGAGGTACTACTACCCTGTGTTGAAACGTTAGACTCTCATTTTCGTTACGCTTCACGGTGGGAACGACTGTACAAATGATTCATGTTTTGCATACGCGTTATTGTGGCTATTTTGCTTGGGCGTTCGTCACTCCACCTGGCCGCCGCGTCCCACCCGCTTTCAATCCCGCCTAGATTGCCTCGCGTCAGTCTTTTCCACGAGCCGCGCCCAGCTCCGTGTATCCTCGGTGAGCTGCCTTTCGCTGTATGCCTTCGTCCCCTGCTGGTCAGCGGCCGGTGCGTGCGTGTGCGCGTGAGCTGTGCGTGTCTGCCGGCTGGCGGGGCGCGGCGGGGGCCGTGCGCGTGCGGCGCGGCGCGGCCGCCGCGGCCGGCGGGTGCCACGCTGAGCCAGCGGCGGCAGGCGGCCCGCCGCGCAGACAGTGGGGGCCGGCCGGGGCCGCCTAGCCGGCGACAAAGACCGGCACCCGGCGCCGCCGCCGTCACCGCCGCCCGCGCGCCGCACTCCGCCCCGTCGCCGCCGCCGCCCGCCGGACGCGCCGAGCGAGCGGGCCAGAGAGCGAGCCGACGGCAGATAGGGCGCCTCGGGTGACCGCTGCGCCCTGGCCGCGGCGCGCCTGGCTGGGGGCGCGCGCGGGGCGCTAACGGCCGGCCAGGGCGCCACCTCCGATCTCTCTACTTGTGATTGTGCTGTTCTGAGAATACACTGTCATTGTAATTGAATCATACTGAGCGTTGCAGTGTCTGACAGTATTTATAAATGCCATGAACTGTGTGGCCATGCCGTTCGCCTGGATGATCCATGGTAACTCAAGACGATCCTACGTTCAATATTGATGTGTCACTGTTATACGCGGAGGAGGTTTCTGCCGATGCATTGACTGTACTCGGGCCATAAAGCTTATGTTGTGCTTGTACCACCCACGTAGACATTGTCTAACCTAGTTATAGTTCTAGGCCATTTGCCCTTAGAAGACTCGGCACAAACCTCCTCCCAAACTTTCCCATTCCAATACAAGTCATGTCTGTTAGTCATATTGACCCAGAAAGTCAACTGCAATATGACATGTATACGTATTGTATGAAATATAAACATCTATTTTTCTTTTAGATTTTATGGTGTAATAAGTTGCTACATGAAAAATAATAAAAACAAATGACATTCCAAAGGCGTCTTTCAAGTCGAGCGGTATATTAACAGAGATCGGCGGGCAAGCAGCAAAGTGAAACCAGCATAATGGCGAGTCAGCAAAAGTGCACGGTACATACGCACGCCATGAACAGCATTGTCACGTAATGTACCATACGGTAGTGCGCACACCATGCCGTCCACGGTTTTAGGACATGCAGGCCTTTTCCACGCCCCCCCCCCCCCCCCCCACCCGATCTGTGCTGTGTTGTGCAGAGCACACCACGAATGGTTTGGCTGACTTGAACGCTAGATGTAACATGAATTCCACAATGTGAATTTCGCTTCCAGTAATATGACGCACGTCATAATTCAGTGTGAAATTGCGCACAATATAATGCATAAGGCATCCAAGGAACAATCGGCCAAGGCGATCCTTACGAGGCCGGCTTGCTTCATGAATATAAAACATATGAATGCAAGTGCAAATATTTTCATCATAAGCAATTAATAATCCCTATAACTATAACACGGTCAAGCACAGCCAGGTTAAGAAACATGCTGGTTAGACTGGGACCAGACCTCCGGCCGTGGGGATACCCGGGAAAGACGTTATCTAGAGGGCGAACTGACGCTGAACTTTACAGGCCTGGAGACGATTGAACAGCGGATGTTTTGGTTCGCCAAACCGCGTATGCTTTGTTAGGTCACTGACCTATGGCAGGTCAAAGACAGCTTGTGGCTTTCAGCGAAGGCAATTTCGAGGGAATTGTTCAATCTGATGTGACAACGGAGTGTTAGACAGAGCCAGACATCCCTGAGATAGTTTCGTGGGCATCTAGGCTAGTGACTGTTGGGTAACCAAATATTCAGTTGGCCTCATCTTAGGTGTGAAGGCTAGACCGAAGTAAAAATCAGCCTGTTTTTTTTAAATGGAAAGCTCGCTTTGTGGAGTACATGTAAAGGCATAAAGATATGTGACCAATAAAGAGCCGCAAGGTCCATCGAGGTTGGCCTACTTTAGGCTCTGTACACACACTCGAAGCTTGTTTTACCACCCGGCCCGCACGAATTTAGTCCTAAATCAGATCTTCAGGCCGATAGAACTTGCCAAGGTCAAACGAGGAAACTAACCTAAAATGAACACCAGTGGCCGTTTGCTCAGAAAAGGTATGTATGTTCAAGGCGGTTCCATGAGGAGGCATAAGGGCACTTGGGACACCAGTTTGAAGCGTTACCTTGTTTGAACTTATTTTACAGAGTCTAATGACCAGAAGCCTCATATTTTGCTGCAAGTAAGTTTACATAAAGACCAATCCATCCTGTGCATGGGGTGTTCCCTGCTCTCCTGATTTTTTAGATCTCAGTGGGTCACATTGACTCCCATCAAAGCGTGCGGTATTCAACCGGCTACCCGGGTGCGTGTAAGAACTGTGGGTAAGTTTTCACCAAACTTCACCAAAAGCAACTTTACTGACGACTACAACATTTTACGTTACACTATCATAAGCCGCGGTGCGTTATCGTCCCAAGCACCCTGCATTCATTGGTAAGATAGATAATCATTGCTTAACTGATACCATCGCCTGACCCTGGATTACTTACGGTTCTTCTAGACAACCGCCGACAGGTATCAAATAACTAGGCCTGATTATTTGATAATGACGTGGACGGTACAACGTAAATGTTTTGCAACTGTCTGTTGTGAGGGTGGTACTGGTCTTTCAGTTTGACTGCTGATGGGATACTTGCCGTTTACTGTAAACATTCCCAAGGAACGAGGACAAGCGCCAAGTTAAGTTTGCTTAAGGGCAAATGCACGCTTTACACGCAGCTCATAGGCCCTATCGCTTCGCAAGTGACATTTCCCTACTTTAAAGTGAGTATGCCACCTTTCTGTACTTTAAACTCATTGCTAGATCAGACGCATATACTTTGATCTGTAGTTATATATTGATAAAAATTATAATAATATTTTTCTCGAGATCCTTCTGAATAGCTCAGAACTTGTTTCAAGTAACCGCCCCGAGAGATACGGTCATTGAACTTCCTGAACAATCTGTTCACCTATATATATATATATATATATATATATATATATATATATATATATGTATATATATATGTATATATATATGTATATATATGTGTATATATATATATATATATATATATATATATATATATATATATATATATATATATGTGTGTGTGTGTGTGTACATGCTATGCGTATCAGTTTCAGTCTGGGCAAAGCGATCTTATCATCACCATCATTTCAAAATGTTTCTGAATACTTGTACCTTTGTGTATTTTGAGCTCATTTTGCATACTCGACTTCCTTTTGTACCTTGAGATGTTTTTATGAGGTGTGGTATTTTCAGCATGTGGATTCGTTTTCCCCTCTGTACTTCCTATATACCACACATCTGGGCGCCGGCGGGAGGCCTCGGTCCCGCCGGCGTGGGGTTGGGGCCTCGCCAGCCCGAGGTCGGGGGCTCGCCGGCTGGAGACGCAAAGCTGGCCGGTCGGTGGATTATGCGTGATGGGGTGAAGAACGTACGCACGGAGGTGCGACATGCAGGCAACATCGAGCGTGGGGCCTTACATTTGCTCGTTGAAGGATATGGGAACAAGCTGAGATTCCTTTTTTTGCACTGGAATTTAATGAAGTGTGCGCCTGGAGAGATAGGCTCAGCCGCGGGGTGATAAGCGAGGTGTTAACAGTTGTTATCCAAGCTGAGCTGAAAGCTGTCGATCCTTTAAGCTGCGCAGCCGACAGATAGAATAACATTGGCCTGAGCGTCTGGACTGTTTGGACAGGCTGTCAGACAATCTTACCATGCTCATGCCATGGATTGAAAGATAAAGGGGGCGAAATGGCCTTTGGTGGTTGCAAATGAATAACAGTGTCGAAATCTCCATGAATATCATGAGGCTCAAAATGCAATCTTAGATTAAGTGATATGTAGATTTCGGTGATAGCGAGTTGATTTTCAAATAATTTCTTACACTAATCTCTTGGAAAAACGAGGTGTCCTTGCAGGTATGAAGGTTTTAAATTGCAAGATCAGTTTAACTTGCAATAGGTCAAGCTGGAAGCATTTCAAAACTCGACAGCGACACACAAAACACCGTACTTCCGCACACTGATGGCGTCGTTCACACACATCCGTACAGCTGCAAAGCGATTGAAGAATCCGGTTAACACATCAAAGTCATGGAGTGTCAAGCCTGCGAGTCACGCTAAGTATATCAAAATGCTCGAATGCAACAGGTTGTATTGCATCATAGCGCCATAGGCACAGGATAGAACATCATATACTAACGTCATAAGGCAAACCCATCAATCATTTGTTGTCACGTACACAGGATATGAATAGATGCATCGATCAGCGGGTAACAGCGCCAGATTGCTGGTCTCATATGACAACTCTGTTGTCCAGTATGGTGTCCTAGACGGGCACTGCTGCCCAACGCAAAGCTGGGGTAACCATGTGCTTCGGAGTCATCCTACTTATAGTATGTTAGACTTAATTACATGAATTATGCATTGCATCTGAGCACGGTTGCAGGCGTCACAGAGCAACCAAAACTTCGTTGGTTGTGGTAACCGACAGCTGCGAAAGAAATGGCATGCTCATGATACTGATTTTCCAAGATATGTTGACGCTATCGCGCACAAATGCTTATAGAAGAAACTACATCTCTACATCACTAATGTTGTTTGGTTAGAAATATTTTTGTCTGGACACATCTAACAGTTTCAGGTTAACAACCCGACTGACTGAATCACTCATTTGAAATCACACCCAGTCACTTCCGTGATTTTTTCAGGGCAGACCCTGCGCTGCTTCCTTTTCACAATATTTGCAAACGAGATGGGCCAACATACAGCTTTTGATATTGCACCCCAATATACTGATGATGCCCACTTTGGGGTCCACCGACGAAAACACGCGGCAAGGACGACTTAGTCGCTGTGTTAGAAAGCCCTCCAGCTGCGCCGCCTAGCTGGTTTTGCGCCAGCGCTTTAGAGGTTAACACATCAGAGTTGTAAGCGATAGGTTTCTAAATGCCTGCCACGCTATGCGACGCTGGATTGCATTTATTTAAGGCTCAGCACAAAGATCACACGCGGATCCAAGACGGTCAAAAGTATTGGCTTAACTATAGCTAACACCCCGACTTTCAAGCAC